GCTGTTTATATTATATATATATATATATATATATATATATATATATATTTCTTCTTAAGTAAAATTGCCTATCCATTATCTATCAAGGGACAGCCTGAATCGCTCAGCTTGACTTTCCTAATCTAAATTGTTGTTACCGTGTCCTCAACGCAAGTATAATAAATGTCCCAGAATTTTCCACTTACCTACGCAAGGATTCACCCAGAGAAGCCGCTGCCAACCCATACAGCTGTACAGTTGGTTGATTTCGGTGCTTTTACAAGCGCAGTTAGTATGAAGTTCAGTGCCCAGGATGCCTAGCATCGCTTTTCTACACTCGGAAGTTGGTCCGGCGCATTTCTTCGTCACGCTGTCGACCGCGCAACTCTGTTCATAATACTCCAGCCTAAGTCTAGAAAGATAAAAACATCAAGATGTTAATTACATAGACGATCAATAAAATTTTGAGTGGCTTATATTGTGAGAGAATTAAATAAAATTCTTAAAATATTGAAGTTCACTTTGGAAGACAAATTATTATATATTATAAAGATGGTCTAATGCTTATAATTATTTCAAAACTGTCACAACATATAGTCGAATCTCAGAAAACACAAAGTTTAAAATCAACGCAAATGACGTCTTTTAGACATCTTTTAGATAGTTCTTACAAGTCTCTAAAAAGACATTTAAAAGACGTCTTATGCATCAATCTTAAACTTTGTTTCGTCTAATATGCTGCAATGATCAATTATTATCAGCGCAAAAAAGTTTAGTCATTGATACATATGTATAATTAAATACTTAGAAAATTATGTATGCACATACAATTGATACAATAATATATAACATACATATAATAATTTTTTAAATATAATTTTTATATTTTAATATAAATAGAATATATGTATATTAGAGTATTCAGTAATAATCAAATCACCTCTGTGAGCAGATAGAGTAGGTTGAGATATCTCTAAATAATCGTGTGACATTGTAAGCTGAACACAGGTCTGTTTTACCGATTATTTTTGGATCAGCTAATCTTTTTATTAATTTCATAGAATTAAAAATACTTTTTCAGAAAGTTAAAGTATTGACAATAACGGATCTGAATAGAATTCTATATGTAAAATATAATTAATATAATTATCATATAATTGCTACATAATATTTAAAATTGCAAATTTTTATGAAATATAAAAATAGTTCCTTTTCCGTATGAAAAAGAGCTCAGAACTTGGTGACATAAATAAAAATAAAATTTTTTGGAACTTATTAGGAATTTTCAGATCAAAAATGGGAGAGAAGAAGAATACATTTCATAATTCAGGGATTAAAAAAAATTATTTTTGAGGATATAAAAAAAATTATCTCCCGACACTCATGTTAAAATATGAGTTTTAATTCTATTAGAAGCATTAAATCACAATATATTTTTTTCAATATATAATTACAACAATTTGCATTTGATTTATAGTCGGAATGTGCACAGCAAATTTCTTTATTTATGTTTGAACATCGTAAGCTTTTTATTGTTTGACATTATGTATATTAATTTTTTTGAAATAAAGATGAAATATGTTACATAGAATAATTTTTAGTATTTTTTGAATCAATTACAGTATATTTTGAATAATAAATAAAAGTATCATTTATTTTAAGTTTTGAATTGATTTAATTTCTTATAATTAAATTTAGAAATGTTGAATTTCTATTTCAAGTTTTTTCAATTATACTTTTCAATAATATCATTACGTATAAAACATTTACCGTGTTAGAAATCAAATGTATTTTCATTTATATTTAATAAAGGTAACGATAGAATCATTAAATCAGAAATTAAATCAGAAACAAATGTCAAATTCGGAAAGCGCTGAAGTTCATTAGCGCAGTTTCTAACGAAGTTTACGTTGAATAAATAATAAACAAGTAAACATATATACACGATGGATATAGCGTAAAAACTGTCACAGCATATAAATATAACAAAATAATATTATTTTTGATACAGTTTTAAAAATATCGTTGAATTATATGATGTTATTGTTATATTTGTAAGTTAAAAATTAAAAATTTATATCAAATAAAAGTTATAAGTAAAAAATGAATCAATAAAATATATAATAATAATTAGCAACAATAATCAATTAATACGAAATAATAAACAATCAGAAAAAGATTATTAATATTTTAATCAATGATTAATTGACTATGATTTTTCCGAGCATTGCATTTATTCTGCTAATTGCGGGTTTTCACGATACGCTTACAAACAACTGTCACGATAAAAATGAATGGGCGTATTTCAAGCAATCATTACAGAAAGTAATTAAATAAATGCTATAGAGACACTTCGTAGCGCGGGAACGCGTCCCGACTCACAAAGCGTACATCTATGGCACACAGCAATTGCTCGTTTCCATGTCACCTATAGAGATACCTCTAAATGGCAAAATTAAAAATGGATTCGTTCGCCCTCGGCGATAAATCAATTAAAACGCTGAACCGAACCGTGCATACGTACGTGCGTGCATGCACGCATGTTCTAATTTAATCGATCAGCGGCGCGTGCACACGTTTCATCGCTCACGATTGCACCTCCTTTTCGATCATTTCAATCTCCCCGTTACCCGCACTATTTTTTTTAAACGTATTTATTTTTGCGAGTAGTGTATTTTACTATTTTACTATTTTATTACACAATATTTCGGTTTTGTTGCGTTTAAAGTTTTATCATTAAATAAGAGTTAATATAGGCAACTACATAATACCAATTTATGATGTATTCAATAATGTCTAAAAACCGTAAAAATATAGAATAAATTTAAAGTTTGTAAACAATTCCGATGATCGAAGTTGAAAATTGATTACAATTTTTTTGCGTTAAAATAAAAAATAAAATCTTATTACAATCCCTAATACTTTACACGAAATATAGTATTCTTTTATATAATTATATTTTAACATAATAATTATATAATTAATATACATATATAATTATATTTTAATATAATAATAATTATTTTTTAATATAATCTTTAATTATATAATTGTCGATACAATTTGATATTATGTAATACCTATACCGTAAAGGTTAAATATTATAACATGTATGTTAAAAACATTTGGTTGATAAATTTTTTAATTGATCTTTTTCTCTCTCTCTCTCTCTCTCTCTCTCTCTCTCTCTCTCTCTCTCTCTCTCTCTGTCTCTCAATTCACTCAATACTAAATGGTGTTTTTTTATATCATGTGTCAGTAATAGTAGATTAATCGATGCATCGATATGCTGTGACATTTAAAACGATACATTCAACAACTGTGAATTATCAGATTTCAATAAAAGAGATATATATGACAGACGAATCATTTAATACAATTTGTCTTAGCGTGTGAAGTATAATGTAATTAATTTATCAATATCAATACAATACATATTTCAAAATGATAAAAATAAGATAAAACCTGTAATTCAATAATATTCTTAAATTAAAGAAAAAATAAATAGTCATTTACGATTAATATAAAAATTTGTAAAGAGAAAGAAAGAAAGCTAAACAGAGAGAGAGAGAGAGAGAGAGAGAGAGAGTAAATACAATTAATTTATAATTAAAACTATTCAACATTTATACGATTCATTAAGATTTAAGACGTTATATGTATGTTTCATTATCTTATCAAATATATACTTAAATCCTTTATACATTATAAATCAATTATTAAAATAAACTATATATTATACAATCTTTAATCTTATTGTAGTTATTTTTTGACCTAATCTAAATGCTAACGTAATAATATTTTTTGTATAAGTGTTAATTATTTACAGGCGATTATATATAACTATATTTATATTCTTCGTTAATTAATATTTATACATCACTTTATATGTAAGATTTAACGAATAAAATTTTTCGTGTAATTTCGTTCATGATGTTCCTCAGTCCAGACGCTAAATCGCAATGTGTCTTCTGTGAGAAGTTACCATTCTAAAAAAATAAAGCGCTTTGCTTGAAGCCTCTTTATCTTTGTCCCAGCAATTCTTTGCGTGATTCTTCGCGGCGAGCGTAGACCGCCGTGCGATGGGAATGGGAACAAAATTGACACGTAAATAATAATGTCCAATTAGAACGACGCAATCTTATCTCGCTGAGTAAACCAGAGAAGCACCCGATTAAACACCGCAAACACGTCGTCCCTTATTTTTTCTCGCAGTTTCGCCGGAACTTTTTCAATTTTAAAGTTAAATCGCGATTCAACAAGATTTATACGCGCGCTAATGCAATATTTCCTTAGTCAAGAGGATGTCCATCCAGCGAGTGCAGGACCGGTGCGACCATGAGGGATAAAACGATATGTTCTTCACCTTTCGGATTTCGTGGCAATGCACATGAGTGTCGCTTTAAATGAATCTGCTTAGCGCCGAGGAAACTATTTTATCACACGAACGCCTTTGTAACGCTTTATATTCAATAGATTCTTTATTGAAACAAAATTGGAAGTTATATGTATGTTAAAGGAGAGTGTAAAACGTATAAAAATATATCGTCAATTTTTGCCCTCAGCCAACAAGTGAAATTTGTCTTTTTATAATTTTCAGGCTGCAAAATCACGTGGTGCAATTAGTTTTCCATAAATATGAACATATATAAAAATGTGAAAGAAGTGAAAATATAAAATGTGAATATAAGTACAGTTGCCATAAAAAAAAGATACATAATGATCTTTTTTACGCAATATTCTAACTCTCGACAATCATCAAATATATGACATTTTATTGTGATAAAGTTCGAATATAAGAGCAAATAAATCTACAAAAACTTAAAGAATATAAGACGAGAGTGAGATACACGCATTTCGCACATCATCTTCTCCGTTCTCTTAAACTCAAGATTCTTAAACTCTAGACTCTGAAACCCTGAGACAGTTAATCCCCAGACTTTTAAGCCCCGTATTCTTAAACTCCAGAGCTAAACCGTGGACTTCTAAACTTTCAAGTTTCAGGCCCTTGAAATTTACAATTAGTCTAGAATCCCAGACACTTCAATTCCACACGAGGGATTGAACCTGGACTCATAAGCCTTGGACTCTTAATGACAATTTTATGTCAATTTAATGACATTATAATTGACCCTTGATGTCACTGTCACTCATATCGTTGCCAAGCATTACCCAATGTGCACCACAGAGAGATTGTGCGGACGAATTTTGCACATCATTTGGCCCTGAAAAGGACCGATTCTAATTCATAATTCGGGAGTCGCGATTATGTATCCGCGATTGTGTATATCCACTGGTTTGGGCGCGCGCGCGCGTGTGTGCGTGTGTATGTGTGTTGGTGGAACCGATTGTATACACTCGCTTACATAGTACTGAACGCAAATGAGTGAAATTGGCATCAAGGATCAATTATAATGTGATTAAATGGATAATTAAATTGTTATTAAGCAATTTATGAGTCTAGAGTTTATGTGAGATCGAAATGTTTGGGTTTTCAAGCTAATTGTAAGATTTAAGGGTCTGAAGAGCTTAAGAGTCTACGGGTTAAAAGTCCACGGTTTAATTCTGGAGTTTGAGAGTCTAGATTTTAAGAGTCTGGGATTTAAGAGGTTTAAGGATATGGGACTAAAAGTCTGGGGATTAACTGACTCGAGAATTCAGGGTCTGGAATTTAAAAGGACGGGAAAATGACATGCGAACTGTGTATATCTAATTCTCGTTTTACATTCTTCGAGTTTTCGCAGATTTAATTCCTCTTATATTCGACCTCTACCACAACAAAATGTTATGTAATACATTTGATGGTTTTCGAGGGTTAAAACATTCCCCTAAGAAAGATCAATACGCGTATCTTATTTTTATAGACATCCATGCTTATTTACTGATTCTAATTAATAATTTTGAAGTTGCGATCATGTATCTGTGACTATGTATATGTGCCTCTGATTTTTGGGCGTGCGCGCGTATGTGTGTGTTGGTGGAACCGATTGTATACACTCGCTTATAGTAATGAACGCAAATGAGTGAAATTGGCATCAACGATCAATTATAATGCGATTAAATGGACAATTAAATTGTTATTAAGCAGTTTATGAGTCTAGAATTTAAGCGTGTGAGATCAAAATGTTTGGATTTTCAGGCTAATTGTAAGATTTAAGGGTTTGAAGTTTAAGAGTCTATGAGGTAAAAGTCTACGATTTAGTTCTGGAGAGTCTATAGAGTTTAAAAATCTGGGGTTTAAGAGATTTAAGGATATGTAGAACACTAAAAGTCTGAGGATTAACTGTCTCGAGAATTCAGAATCTGGAGTTTAAAGGAAGATGACATGCGAACTGTGTATATCTAATTCTCGTCTTACATTTTTCGAGTTTTCGCAGATTTATTTCCTCTTATATTCAACCTCTACCACAACAAAATGTCATGTAATACATTTGATGGTTTTCGAGGGTTAAAATATTCTCCTAAGAAAGATCATTACGTATCTTATTTTTATGGACATCCATGCTTATTTACTCACTTATTCTGTACATATTTTTACATATGTTCCGTTCATGTTTATGAAAAACTAGTTACATGACATTTCTGCAGCCTAAAGGTATAGAAAACATAAAAATTTTACTTTTCTGCACAAAAATCGATGACTTTTACACACCCTCCTTTGAAAACCTTTCATTTATAATCGCTATTACAATTACGGTAAAATAATCACATTGAAATAATCTCTCGTTGTTGCTAATTAATCTATTAGCTGTCAATATTAGAAATGTTTGTTTTTAGAACACGTGTATCTATTTCGGCCAAATCTGCTATTCGTTTCCCAGAGATTTTCTTTTTCACGCGCTTCGTTCCACATTTCTACATTTGCCCGCGATCCGTTGTGTACGGACAGTTCATGGAGAAACATGCAAATTTTCAAAAAAAAAAAAGAAAAAAAAAGAAAAATGTGAATATGACGCACTGCCTCACCTGCAGCTCCTGTTCTCTTTGCAAGTCTCAGCCAGACTGTGACACGTTGGCATTTCGGCGCCGTCTATGCGCTGCGCGCAAGTTGGATGCATTTTCTCTTGTGCCACTATGCATTCGTCCTTTTTGTTGTCCGTTTTTCTGCACAACGCAAAACATAGACTGGTATAATAAGATTCAAGCAATTACTATTAAAGAATTCTTTAAAGCGCTGTTCATATAGAAGAAAGCCCTGATAAAGCTGCGACTTTATAATAATAACCAAAATAAGTAACAATTAGTGTGTTAAAAGAAAAATATTTTAACACAAAGTTTGCACTATATAAATAATGTAAAAACTGGTTTATTTATCGAATCAGATGAGCAGCATAATAAAACAAATATTTAAATTGTCTTCATAAAAATATAAATGTATATTTCATATTAAAAAATATAAATATTTACTTTATATTAATTATTATTATTAATAATTAAAATTAAACAGCAATAATTTTAACAACTTTTAGCATCAGCTAATCAATTTTTTTACATTGCATTGAAATGTGATGCACGAATGACAAGAGTAAAATAAATAATCTAGCATAAGTAGTACTTAAATACTTAGTTATGTTAGTGAAATGGGAGAAATCGCCGCGTTTATTATAGTATAATTGGCAAAAAGTGAGGTTTGCGTGGCGTGTATTATTCGCTTGAGCATTAATCAGACGCATATTTTATTTAGCCGTGTTTTCCTATTCGGTCGTTCGGTTCTTATTTCGAGATGGATAAAAGGAGGATTCTATGAAAAAGACTGCCACGAGGATTCGTGGGATAAAAATAAGACGCGAGGCGACAGCGGAAAGTTTGTGCATTGTTTCGCGACCAAAAGCCACTTAAAAGTTAAAGGAGTCTCGTTAAAAAATACGAGCTTTTTGCGCGAAAGGAGGAACATTAGGGTTGCTTCGAGGATTTCGTCCAAGTTGTCATTGCGAGATCTCAACCCGCTTCTATACTCGCTTGTCCGAATCCGAAAAAATTTGCGCGTGTAATTTCTGCGAATTAATCTACTCGTAATTGTCTCGAAAATTTAAGATATTTTTACGAAAGGGCGCAATTATCATTAGATCAACGAATACTTTGCGCTGTAACGAATAAGGATCGTAGCATTGTTTAATATTTTAAAGGATAATTTAGTAATCATGAGAGTTCTAGTCAACTCTCTCACATCCTCGAGATTACACTGAAGTCTTTGATTACTTTTATGCAAAGTTGTACATGCTAATGTAAATTAATTCTGTCTTGCCGCGTGTTTCTCATCCAGCTATAATTTCATCGTATTAACTATATTCTAAAAACAGTTTCTCAATTTTATTTTTTATTGCAGTCACGTTAATAATTTATTAGCATAATGACAGCTTAATTCTCGATGTTTATTTAAAATTTGAAAAATATGATAAAGATTACATTTAATTTGCTAACATTTTCATCTTTTAATCATAACGACAAACATACATCACGAAAAGTTTCTTTTCTATAAAGAACATCGAACATATCTGCAGTAGATAGGTACATGATACTGTTGCGCAAAAGAAATTGCGACTTATCGTTACATCAACTTAGTTTCAAATTTTCATAATGCGCCGAGAACAATCGGTCGCAATCATGCGTTCCCTCCATTCTTTATTCATCCGCGCAATTCTAGGCATTGTGCCTATTATTACCTGCATCCGAGTTCAGCTGAATGCATGAACGCGGGGATGCATCGGGAACATGATCCGGCATTTCTGTCAGTTAAACGCGTTCGCGTTTTCTCTTTTTTTTTTTTGGCATATCGGCATATCGGTTCGGCTGCGCGTAACGCGCCGGATACGATGTAATGCGCGCTACTCGGCATACGTATGTATGCCATGTATGTGTGTATCGTGCGGCAGGCCGCGCATTGTTTCGCATAGCGCGATTCGAAGCTCCGGCTCTCAATTGCCCGATTTCGTCGGATTTCGAAAAATTTTTACGCCGGCGCGAACGTGCGCGCGACCGTATAATTAGAATGCGCGAGTTTAACAACGCGCGTCCTTCGATTAATTCCAAATTAATTTACGACGGCGCGCGGCGCCGACAGAGTTGATTCGTCATTTCGCGCTGGCCACAGCTGCGCGCCGCGCCGCGCCGGTCCCGGTTACAATAATCCGTTATTAATTCACGTTACGTCGCGCATTGTGCCGCGACACAGTCGGCCCCCGCGTAGCGCGCCTATACGTTAATATTTTAACGCGGACTTTCTCGCGACAATGGACAGCCAATTAAACATTCAGCGTCGACGGAACGTGTAACCGAAAAGGGCAATAGCTCCGGCATATAGTTGTGCTGATAGAAAATCTTTCCGCTGGAAAGAATGCCGTTAGCAGAGAAATATGAAACATGCGGTAAATTTTTCGAACGATAACATATACACTTTGCGGCGATGTGTGGCAGCCATGAGAAAGAAAAGGAAACGTGAAAAGCTTAAATACTTCTATTGAATGAAAAAAAAAAAATATATATATATATAAAGGAAGAGAAATTGAGGCTGAACAAACAATACAATAGACCCAAATATAGTAATAATAGAGTTAATCCTTTGGCTACTACGTATACTATTATAGTGGCTTCTCTCTAACTCGCATTCTTTGAAATGAAACAAAACGCGATTATAATAACTTGCCACCTAAACGATCTTTTGGAGCAAAACGCCACTGCAGTGACTCTTTTCTATGCCTCAATATCTTGCCGCTATCAAGCAGAAATGTTCTCAATTGTTTTGATCTGCATTTGTTTCATCAAAAGAACGTTCTCGCATTTTAATCGATTTCCGCGGCCGAGCTGTGCGTACAACGATACGTCTCTCCGCGCTCAACTCAGCCATGGCCAAAGAGTTAAAAAAAAAACAGCTGCTCGATTAACCTGCACAGGCAGAAGGCAATTTCCACGGAATGCTTGTGATTGGCGGTCTTATAGAAGAGCTGCAGCGCTTCCATGCACTCGTTCCTCGCACACGTCGTCGAGTCGCAGTGGTTTAGAACGGGTTCCAGCAGATTCTTGCATTCCGGATCATTTCTGAATAAAGAAAAACGTTCCCACGTGCAGTTCATCTCGTCTACAACGATTGGTCTCGATTACTGCAACTTGCGAACGAAAACTCACTTGCAGGACGTGTAAGCGTGATGGCACGTGCTGGACAGGATCAGTTTCACCGGCTGTTGAAGCTTGTCGATGTCTGACGTGGAGGACGGTGGTTCCACGCCCGAATCTGCGAAACAAGCAACGTGTCAGTGGACAAAAAGTGCTGATCCAATCGTTTAGAATTAAGGACTGGCCGCGACTTAACTCTTCGTTTGAAGGCTCGCAAAGACGTTAAAACGTTTTGACAATAAAAAGGAAGTATTCTTTTAATTAACAAAAATTCAGTGTTTAAAAATTTTTCAGATTGTTAATTACGAATCGGAGAGACCAAAATCACAAACTTAAAAAGTATAGCAGATTGAATATGATCTCGATTGAATATGCACCAATTTTAGATAACTTATCTACCACGTGGGTCTCCGATAACAGTATTTTTGTTTACATTTATTATATTTGTTAAGTAACATATATTTCTCATAATGATTGAAAATTATAAAAATTATTATATAAAAAAGAAGGCCCAATGTTGCACTGTATATCATTATTAAATATACATATGTCTACGCATATTAGAAACTTCAGAAATATTAGAAATTATTTTATATTACGTTTCTGTTTATAAACAAACTATTAAACGACCTGAACGGAAAGTTCAGCATCGGTCATTTCGCACAGAATGTTATAGTAGATTATTTTTCTAAAATACACATTGTTCTAAAATTTTGATATTTGTGAACTTTTAAAATTGATGAAATTTATAAACTTTTCAAATTACAAATACTTAATTACAAATCTAAAATCAACGTTATAATATTATCTTAAAACAGTAAATTCACAATATCGATAACCAAAATATTGTAAAATTAAAAATTATTTCCATTTAAAATTTATAAATATTTATCTATTTCTAAATTTTTTCATATTTAAATTTGTCATATTATGAAATTTATAATTTAATGATTGTAAATTTATAATCATTTGGAATAGATACAAATAAGTAGGATCATAATGCCTATATATGCAAAAATTATTTATTTGATGGCCACCAAATTGAATCCGCTATTATAAACTTTGTGATTTCGATTTCAGATTCATAATCAATGATCACAAAATCTATAAATATACGTAACTGTTTATACATAATTTAATAAAATTAAAACAAATTCTATCCGTATTATACAAGGCCACAAGATATTATAAGTTTCAAAATTAGTGTTATAATAAATATAACATTTTGTTAAATTCTTTAAAAGTTAGCTAATTACATATACACATATATTTTTTCCTAAAGCAAAATTTTTATGATTAAAAAGATCCCGCTTTCTAATGATTAACTGCAATATTTCTGCATATAAAAGTTTTATATTATCACTATATATTTTACTCGTTGAATGAAAAACAATGGGATAAATCATATTGTCTTATTTTTAAGAAGAAAGATGTTTGTGAAAATAACTAACATAAAACCTAGCTATATTATACTTTTTTTAAATGTTTCTCCATTATGGTAAATTGAAAAAAGGAGGGTCCGAGTTACAATTAAGCTCGACATACAAAAGAATAGTAGAAGATATGATCGCAGGATCTAATTTATCTCGACTCACGATGACGAATGTGGTTTAATGTCTTACTTTAAATTTATATTGATCAAATATGCGTATAAAAATAACAAGATAAAACGTTCATTATTACCGGTGAAACTTTTCCAATTAGCGCCATGTAATGCAATTGTATATCAGACGCGCCCGCATTTGATAAATTGTGAAAAGCATCATTTATCATGGATATATCTACTATTTTACGCGCGACGTTGAAGGTTCTTCCAGCACAAATTGAAACACGAGCTTCCGACCATCGATCGGTGGCATCGAGCGACGTGTGCGGCGCTCTCTTCCTCGAAAGAGATCGACATCGGCACAGTTAAACACGGCAGCTTGAGTTCCTATCCGTAATGCACTGTTTACACAGTCACTATAGGGAGAGAGAAAGAGAGAGAGTCCTACTTTTCTTGCCAGTGGACACAAATAAATGATAAATCATCAACGTCGCACACCGAGGGCGTTGATGCGCTGTAAAGGAGAGCGATGCATATCGTTCCTTTATTTCCAGCTCCGTAAAAATTATGAACCGAAATCAGGACAGGTAATTTCTTTTCATCACGCATTTAAATGCAATGTTATTAAACTTTAGATTAACTTGTTTAAGTCCACAGAGATATACATACATTATTACGTCTTATTACATATTTATATCGATTCTAAATATAGACATATATTTCTTGTGAATTTAAAAAAATATATATTTAACATGTATTTAAAAAAAAAGTAGATCACAATGTGCGAGATATTCTCGCGAAGGGAACAATGAATTAAATGAATAAGCCGTCGGAAATCTTTGTTGGAAATTTCTAGCCTCGTAATAGACTCGAATTCGACAAGCGACCGTGCGAGGGATGGTCTATCTACCCGATGACGAATGATCGCCATCATTAACCAACATCCTCTCTTCGATTGATGGACTCCGGCGACGGGGTTAACGATCGCGGGGAGGGGGGATCCTGTGAATATCGGGAAGGGAGAACGAGACTACCTTTTCGGCACGAAGGAGGGAAAAAAGGGTCTGGGGATTCCCCATGAGAAGAGCCGCCCCGCCAGATGACTGGCCATAAGTCAACCACCATGAAGAGCGTGGCTTCGACGCACTTTATTAAGACAAACGAGCAGCCGTCTCCTCTCCGCATCCTTTTGGAGGCCTTAATCGCACCCCTGAATCGTTCGTGTGTTTGCTTTGATGTGAAAAAAATGGTGCCAATGGCTTTAAAGTTTTAATATGTAGAAGCATGACAAAAGGAGACTAAATAAATAAACTAATATATATAGCCAAGGCAGATTTTTATGTAATTCTAGTAGAGATGCAACAAAAACATTTATTAAATGTTTATATTATCTGAATAATTTTTAGAGAAGTTATTATCTGATCTGTACTCTTCTCAAATTGAAAATTGTGATACGAAACGTATTAGTTTTATAATAAACATTATTATTTCATTAATTTTTTTGAAATATATGTCTAGTATATTAAATTATTGATAAGAAATTTAAATAAAAATTAAAAATCTCTTTTCTCTGTTTTTCAATATTAAACCTTCATGGTCACACTTAGTCAAAATGACTCGAACATAATTTTTTTTTATGTTAGATTTCAGAACCTTCTTGGCTTAGCAAGCGCACCCGCCAAAATCATACTACTTTTTTCTTAAGCATCTCAAGAATATTAGGCTAAAATTTTATTTTAAAATATTAAAAATTAAAAAAGTTATGATTTCTTAAGTAAAAAAAACTCATTTTTCGAAGTTAACACGTTTACGATTTTTTTTTTAATGTTAAGATTAAATTTTTCACTAAAACGCTATTGTTCTATTTTCTTAAAGATTGAAATGATATACTGTAATGTTTTAAAGTTAATGGAACTAATATTGATTTGATAACACTTTAAAAACGGGGCGACTCGGGTCATTTTGTCCCAGTATGACCATCGTGTAACTATTATGAAGTGTGTATCATGAAGGATTAAATTAATAAAATCAAAGAAAGAAGGAAAGAGAGAGAGAGAGAGAGAGAGAGAGAGATGTTAAACTATATAGAAACCGAACAGTTGGAACAATTCTAAAGATTATCGTAAATCGAAACACACTTTAAGCATTTCCAATAGAATATCGATATCGCAAATTTCGAATCCGATCGGCGTGTAGCACATTGAAGAACAAGGACAATTTCGAGAGGCAGTAATTGGAACTCATGTCGCACCGGCTTTTCAAGATCGATGTCGAAACTCGCCTTCGCGTTCGTGAGATATATCGCGGCTCCTCGGTCAGGTGAGGACCTTTTCGGTGACACAGGTGCGCGAATGCAGAAACTCGCTTGGCGAGTCGTTAGACTCTCGTACCAACGAGATCATTTGCTCATGGAAAATGGAAAACAGCTAAAACGTCAGTGAAACACATACTTGTTCTATGCACAGCACTTAGGCTAACGATCATGGGCGTTTGCAGGCGGAAGAGGGAGTAAGAAGAGGCATTTGCCTCTCCCCTCCTGAAATCAAACGAGTATAAAAAAATTCAGAATTTGCTCTCTTATTTTTACAAATAATAAATATGTTGCCAAATGTGAGAAAGCTAAAATATAACACAAGATACACAACGTTTGGACATTTGATCCTCGTGGTAGTTCGTATTAAAAATTTGGATCATGCCCCTCTCTAGAACAAATCCTGCGGACGCCTTTGCTAACAATGATGAGTACTGAGCTCTTTTTTTTTTATCTCTCTTCAAGTGAGAAAAATCTTATTAAACGTAAACCATTCGCTCGAACCGAAGTGTCTGTGACGTATACAAATATAATATGAAACAAGACGTCAATATTTTATGAGTCAATTTTTAGTACTTTTTGATACTCAATAATTTGCAAGTGATACTTTCGCGCGTTAGGATGATCTATAATAAGCTTTAATTAATATTATATGATTTGTTAATTGTATAATTAATGATAGAAAATTTAATTTATATATGATTGAAATTAATCGTGAAATTATATATGAAAGAAAATTTAATAAAAAGAAAGATAGTTAAGTAATATAATTGACACGGTTGATACCAAAAATATAAAACAATCCGATTAATCAATATTGATTTGATTAATGTGTCTGCGTGTCAATCATCTTGAAGCGAAGAAATTTATGCAAAAAATTCTTACGGTATCAACAGATATGCGTTTTACTCTCGTAAAGGTTCATAAAATGAGTCGCAAACTCCGCCATCAGTCAGACACGTCACGTAGAAACGTAGGACGATGAAATGTGACAGGAGCTGTCAGGACGCCCCTCCCCCCCCAAACTCGGTAAAACCCAGGTTGCGGTTTATATCCGGCTCCATGTTTCTGTGTGTGACTTCCATTAAATTTCATCTATTACTGTAACCCAGAAATAACCGGAGTCGTGAATGTGTCTCGCGGGTCCGCGGTCGTGATTTTTTTGTCGCCGGCGCGTCGCAAAGTTGACGGGAATGCAAATCGTCGCGTTAACGAAATTGCAAGTTCAACGTCGACGCTCGTGACTTGTCTGCCCGCGTTG